GGGGAACGTTGGAGTCCTCCGTCACTGAAGCAAGCAAGCCTCATGTTCGCTTCAAGCTGCCTGGCTGCCGGCCGCCATCTTGGCTGGCAGTTAATTTGCATATTGCCCTGATTAGCCAATGGGAAGGGTATCGGAGTGACACCAATTTGCATGTTTCTCTTTTATTAGTGTAGATAATAAAAGTGTAATATGCTAATTAGACCAGACAGCCAAACGACCTTCAAGATGTCCTTCCAGATGAAGCCGGGGCTGCGAGGGCTGAGGCAAGCTGCTGTGGCTGCAAGGGCCGAGCCCCTTGCATGAATTTCATGCATCGGGCCTCTAGTCTTATGCATATATCTTTAAAATAATCTTAATTAGATGACTAGAAAGTAACAAGCTTAGATTATATTTTTATTAAATAGTGCCCTACAGAAGCACTTTTAGGTAGTTCTGATTTAATGTTATGATTGTGCTTTTGTTGTGGGTAGGCATAAGGAAAGATCCCCTGAAAAATTCTCCATCTGCTCTAAAGCTGGAGTAGACATTGTAATATTGTACTATTACACCATTTCTAAGAATCATTTTAGTAAATTTCTCCAGAATTTAGGGCTAGTCAATTATGTCATTTCATGTGCATTTGCATAGTCCCCTGTGAAAGCTATGAGAATTCTAAGTGTTCTCTCTCTGCCCTCCACCGTCTCTCCTTCCTTCTGTTTTCCCCACTGTAGTTTTCATAAAGGTCAAAGCTTATGCCATTTGTAGTCTTTATCTTTGGTTTTAAATACAATTCTTTTCCCATCATAACTTATACTCCCCCCCCCTTTTTACACTCCCTTTTAAAAGTTTATTTTTTATTTTCAATTTTTAAAAGTGTTAATATTACACACCAACCCATAAACATCCTTGGAAATACTGTGGTCTAAATCTATATATATAAAAGCCTAAGTGACCATTTGACTGTTTGACCCATAGCTATGACGTGCACTGACCACCAGGGGGCAGACACTCTGACTGGTAGGTTACCTTGCTGTTGGGGTCCGGCCAATCAGGACTGGGTGAGTGGGGCTGGACACACCCTGAAGCCCTCCCGCAGTCCCTCCCCTGTCCCGGTCATGCATCGGTGGTTTCCCTCAGCCTGGCCTGTGCCCTCTCACAATCCGGGACCCCTCAGGGGTCCATGCACTGGGCCTCTAGTTATAAATAAGTTGCTCTTATAACTATATGAATGCAGCCCTGGCCAGATATCTCAGTTGGTTACAGTGTCCACCAATGAGCCAAGGTTGAGGGTTCAGTTCCCATTCAGGGCACATGCAGGAAGTAACCAATGAATGGCATAAATAAGTGAAACAATAAATTGATGTTTCTCTCTCTTAAAATATATAATCTAAAAAAAATGAATGAAGGCAAGTTAACTGATGAACATTGAGAGTATAGCCCTTTTTGTATAGTCCTAAAATAAAATATTCTAGGTGTAAAGAATACATTAATCAGGACTGAGCAGCTAACTTGTGGACACTATATCCATATGCTTTTTAAAAATATATATCTTTATTGATTTCAGAAAGAAATCAATAAAAGAGAGAGAGATAGAAACATCAATGATGAGAATCATTGATCAGCTGTTTCCTGCATGCCCCCTACTGGGGATCGAGTCCGCAACCTGGGCATGTGCCCTTGACCAGAATTGAACCCAGGACCCTTCACTCCACAGGCTGACGCTCTATCCACTGAGCAAAACCAGCTAGGGCCCCATATACTATTTTGAAAGAACAAGATTAACAGAAAAAAAGGTCAAGGTGCAGGTATGCAACGAATATATTTAAAAATGCTGAATCCTAGGTGTACATGGGAAAGTGTTGCCCACAAAGGCAGGATATTAGATGCCCAGTTTAGCTGAATAAGACAACACTCAAAAAATAATTTTTAAAAAGTATTATTGATTTTAGAGAGAGGAAGGGAGAGACTGAAAAACATAAATGTGAGAGAGAAACATTGATTGGCTGCCTCCCAGTGCACCCCTACCTGGGATGGAACCAGCAACCTGGGCATGTGCCCTCACCAGGAATTGAACCATTTACCCTTCGGTGTATGGGATGACACTCCAACCAACTGAGCCACACCAGCCAGGGCTCAAAAATAATTTTCATAAAACCAAGCTTGGTGATCACTGCTGTGTTTGTGGTTTTTAAAAAATATAGAGACCTCTGATCATATTTTATCTTTCAAAGCTGCTTCATGCTTTTAAAGTTACAATGCAATTTGATTTTTGATAAAATTGTTATATGAATGAGATATGTATATCTTGGGTGGACTTGAGCAATGGAGTCCCATAGAATATGAAAACCATAATAAATGAGTCATCCAAAAGATAATGGACGTCTCAGTTATAGGAAAAATAAGGTGTCATTAGAAATGTTGTCATTGTCTAATACAAAATGGAATTTTAAAATTAGGTTAGCAATAAAACAAAACCTTAATTATCCAAAGTCAATTTATGTACTGAACACACACACACACACACACACACACACACACACACACACACAGTGCAAAATTAAAGGCACAAAAGAACCAGAATAGCAGACCAGACTGTATTAGAATATCGATTTTATTTAAATAATTATTTTCATTTTTCCTTCTGTAGGTGACGAGGACTGCACAGAATTCACCACAGTTACTTTAGAATCTCCAAAAGCATTGCTGGCAGAGGCCTGACTAGAGGGTGGCTGCTGCATCTTACTTTTCCAAGTCTCCTCAGACCCTTCAGGAGCAGGACTTGCTTGGTCATTTTTAAAGACACAGCCTGATCCAAAGAGTTCCTCCATGAGATTGCTCTTCTTTGCTCTGAAAGTTGCGTCTTTTGCTTTTGTTCTGGAAGACTTACCAAAAGAGGGCTCGTACCCGCCCCCCGAGTGCCTGGGCTTCAGTTCTTTGGCGCCCCCGCGCTGTTTGCCTGTGCTGTGGCTGCATCTCCAGGCACCCGGTTTGGCTGGCCCACCTGAAGCAGGAAGCCCATGATGCAGGTTTTCCGTGGCTTCTGTGAATAAATAATGCTTTCTTTGTCGGAGGTGTATTTTGGTATTGTGGGCATTTTTATTTGGTACCTCATCCATGTCGCTTTTTGGGACACTTTTTTTAAGCTCTTCTTTTGCTGCATCATTTTCCTGTTGGCTTCCCTGTTCAGACTGAATGACTTGGATTCTTTTTGATGGTAGTTCTTGTTCTTTTTCTAAAGTGGTTTTCTTCTCTTGATCTGCTTTTCTCTCTCTCTGTCTTCCAGGATTCTCCAGAGCTGCTGGTACTTTCAGGTGCTCCTCTTCCTTTGATAAATCTGTATTAGAAAAATAGTCAATTTGGCGATCTTTAAAATAATGGGCTTTTATTTCAAGATGGCATGCATGTTTGCCACACTCATTTCCACCTCCTGACAAGCACATTAAAATGACATAAAGGTGAGGCAGTAAGAGCACACAACGTCCGAATACGGAAAGGTGCTATTAGTGGCAGGGATGTGGCACTCTCCTAATCATACCAAATGAGAGAGATATGAAACCAAAAGAAAAATGATATTCCTAAGAGAACTAGAAGTTTCCAATAGGTTATTACCAAAGGTTCAAACACCACTAGCTGGAGGTAGTGCCTGTTGAAACAATAAGGACATTTTTACCCAATTGGCAATCATTTTGAGTTGGTGAGACTATCGGGAAATTGGAACTCTTGTTCCCAACGAGTGGGTGTGTAACTTGGTATAGCTTTATCTGGGTGGCAGTTTGGCAGTACTGATTACAATTTTGAGTGAACATATTCATAGCCTCAACAACTTCCCTTCTAGGACCAAGCCCTACAAACACACACACTGGCATGTCGGGTAAGGATGTTACTGAGCATGGGTAGGTCACAGTGGCACGTCCTAAATGCCTGTCAGAGGGTCAAGGTTAAATACACGATGGCATGTGCAGCCTGTGGGATTCTGGGCATTTGTGATAGAGACGACGGGGATGGACGTGCCCTGACAGGAGAGATTTCAGTTGTTAGTGAAGCAGCCACGGGGAGAAGGGCTGCCCTTTCCCGTCCTCGCCAGGCAGCAGGGAGCCTGCCGTCAGCCCTCCCCTCCCCGGGGGGCGGGGGGGGGGGAAGGCCTGTTGCAGGCACAGACGTGCACAGACCCGCAGCCACGACCAACGAGCTGGTCAGAGGAGGCCACCATTTAGCAGGCAGAATGGCAGTCATTGTGAGGGAGAGTGGGACAGCACTGGACGTGCAGAGAGCTGGGAAATTTCCTCACATATTCCACACATTCTGAAATGAAACTATTCACTATACTCTAAAATAATAAAAAAGGAATTCTAGCAAGAGACGAAATATGTTTCAACAATTAGTGGTGAGCAAAGAAGCAGCAAGATGTATAGTTGATGCTAAGTAATATTATGCCCTGCTGATACTTAATGCAAATGTTAAACTTTGCTAACAGGAGACATTGCTTATTTCCCACCTCCACTGCTGCCAGCCCCAGTCCGGACCACCAGCCTCTGCCTGGGTCACGGCACCGGCTGCGGCCTGGCCTCCCTGCCCCGCCCTTCCTTCTCCGCAGTCGGAAGAGGCACCTCTGTTCCCGCTGGTGAAGGCGAAGCCGGATGATGGCTGCACCCCAGAGGCAGAGGGCCACCAGTCTGTTGTGCTTTTAAAAATATATATATATTTTTATTGATTTCAGATAGGAAGGGAGAGGGAGAGATAGAAGCAGCAGTGAGAGAATCATCGATCTGCTGCCTCCTGCACGCCCCACACTGAGAATCCAGCCTGCAGCCTGGGCATGTGCCCTTGACGGATATTGAACCCGGGACCCTTCAGTCTGCAGGCCGACATTCTATCCACTAAGCCAGCGGTTCTCAACCTGTGGGTCGCGACCCCTTTGGGGGTCGAACGACCCTTTCACAGGGGTTGCCTAAGACCATCCTGCATATCAGATATTTACATTACGATTCATAACAGTAGCAACATTACAGTTATGAAGTAGCAGCGAAAATAATTTTATGGTTGGGTCACAGCATGAGGAACTGTATTTAAAGGGCCAGAAGGTTGAGAACCACTGCACTATGCTACCCGGCCAGGGCAAGGCCACCAGTCTGGTAGTAAAGAGGCTTGAGCATTAAGGGCTGGTGTCACCCGGACCCCTGCTCCTCTGTACCTCTCTGCAGCGATGCCAGGTGAGCCGGTCCTGGCCGTCTGGCCCACCGCCTGCTGGAGACGGCGCCCTGTCCCTGTGCTGCAGCCGGGTCGGCTGAGGGCTCCCATTTCACCCCCAGCGTGTTCTGCTCCGACCTCCTCCCAGCGCTGGAGGTGAGCCCTGGGCTCTTACAACGGGAGGCTCTGAGCAGCCTGTTCCACCCGAACCTCTCCCAGGCCCGCAGAGCAGCCCTGCCGGAGGCCGTGCGCAGTGGGTTCTCTGTGCCAGGACGGTGCAGGACCTCGCCCTGACGGGCCCTTGTACATTCGGGCCCAGAAGCCAGAGTCTGCCGGCCGACCCCTCCCTGGAAGCCTTCGGTTGGTCTCATTAGTGGCCGTGTTGCCCTTTACTCAGCTGGGCTTGTCTGCCGCTCAGTTTGTCAGAGTGAACATCATGTTTAAGGGGACACGCAAGGACAGGGAAGTGAGAGGCAACGCAAGGGAATGAATGCGGCGTCAGAGTGAAGACTGGTTGTTTCTGGCGGGCAGGGAGGGGATGTGGTTAGGAAGGGCCCACAGTGTGTTCTGGGGACTAACGTTCTATTTGTTAGGGCTGGTGGCTACACAGTGTTAAATTCTATAGTCATTCTTTGAACAGTATATATGTCTTATGTATACTTTTATACATGGACATACAGAATTCACAACTTACAAAAAGAAAAAAAAAGAATAAATATGACTTAAAAGTTGCTAAGTCACCTTCATATTTTCTCTTGGACTCCTCTTGGCTTGGTAGTTTACTGCTGCAGTGAGGAATTACATGGACTATTCCAGTGGATTTTTCTTTATGACCAGTGTTTCCTGTTATCTTTTTACTCTGGAATTCAGAAAAGCAGCAAAAGCTCATCTTTTGGGTACAGATAATTTTAAATTATACTTAATTCAATGAATACAAATACTTTTTTGTATAGATCAAACTACTGTAGCCTATTTTGTAAAGACTAGTAGCTCTGCCCACAAATCCGTGTGCTCGTAGCTCGCTGCCCCGCCCTCCTGTAGCTCTCGGCCGCTTGTAGATCTGTCATCATGTTACGGCATCCTGTCTAATTTGCATATTCCTCTATTATTATATTAGATATGTTTAATTAGATGTTGCAAGATTTCAAATTTGCTGTACCTTAGTCATCAAAGATGGCATGTCTTCTGATTTTTGGGTCCCCTGTTGTCTTGTACTTGTAAATGGAACATTTTTCCTGTCTGTCTGCACTGATTTTGTTGAAGAAACTGCAGAACAAGTACATTACATATAAGAAACATGTCTGACATTTGGAAGCAATATTGATTGTAAATATAAAATAACTGACACTTTGCTCCCCTGCTGGCCCAGTTGCCCCCAACTGCCCTCTCCTGCAGGTCTGGTCCCCCCACAACTGCCCTCCCCTGCCGGCCTGGTTCCCCCCCCCAACTGCCCTCTCCTGCTGTCCTGGTCCCCCCAACTGCCCTCTCCTGCAGGCCTGGTCCCCC